GTATCGGTATCGAGTTGAAAAGTGTAGTATCGTGACAACCCTAAATCTGATAAAGAAGAAATGTTACTCTCAAAATTTTTTATTTGATTGAATGTTTTATTTATGGATTGTACTTTTATTCCATTTACAGGGTAGGCTTAGGGTTAGGGTTAGTAATACTAATACATGTTCTTTGCTTGCAACAATAACAGAACAAAATTTACCACATATGACACACATGATTGCAAACTGTACATTAATGATTCACTCTATATATTCCATGAAAGTTGGATTTTCTGTTAAAAATTCAAGCCTTTTTTATTTTATTTTCCCATGATGGATTAGTAAGCGCAAAATTGAAAGAGAGGCCAAAGCAACACTGTGCCAGTTTGTACCACATGACCTGATCTACCAGCTGCTGCATACAGCTGCTGCTTACCAGATGATACCAGCTGAGGTTGCATGTCAAACATATTAGGTCTTACATCATTCAAAATCATACTTTTAGTGTCTTAAAAAGGGAAAATAATTTCTTCTGAAGGTGTTGTTTGGTGCATTATTAACCTGAATGGCACTAAAAGATGTTATGAGCTTAATCATCCACAACATGTCATATAAAAACAGCGTTTAATTGTGCTAATGCTAGTTACCACTTAAGCATAATGTTCTGGCTGGATTAACATTGACAGCAGTAGTAGGATCTGAGTTTATTGAAGTCCTGGGCTTTAGTTTTAGCTAATTATAACTTAAGGTGTTCAACTACGGTATGTGTTTACCTCACACCCAAATTGACATTTCTTTATGCAAAATTATTCAACTATCCCAAAACTAAATAAGCGATATAATTCACAGTAATTAAACTATGGATTTTAAGGACTACCAAGCATGTTTCTATAAACACATATGCTTGCATTGGCTCTAGCATGTATATATTATTTTGTTATCATGGTTACTATGGGCTTTAGGATGTGAAGTCAAGTAAAGGTAAAGATTTTGGCCCTGTAACCTAGATTTATTGTTTTTTAATGTTTCAAACTCTACGACTTCGGATGAACTCATAACTGCATTATGTATACAGTTTTTAAAGAAGCTGTTGAAATAAAAGAAACAACTTACCTTTCACCATCTAGCGGAGGTGTCCTCTCTTCTGGTGATGTAATTGGGTCTTCTTCTCCACGGTTTGGCTGAGGAGGATCTACGTTCCTTTTTGATCTGACCTGTAAAGAGTTCAATATATTTGTTAAAATACTCACTGCAAAACAAAATGTTGTTTGAAGTTGAAAGGCTGCCGGCGGTAGTCATAAATGTCATAAAAGAAAGCTGTATCTTCTGACAGTTCCATAGAAGCTCTAAGAAGCAGATAGGATCTCTGGATCAACCCATAAAGTTTTATGGTTTTGTTCCTAGGGTTGAAATTTAGCTCACCTTCCAAACGAGGAGGAAGATTAGTGCCAGCAGTGGTATAAACAGTAAGGAGAAAAGGCTTTTCTCAATTATCTTGACAATGGGACTTGGCGGTTCAACTGGAATGAAAAAACAGAAAAACAAACTCTTATAGCACAAATTAACAAATAATACTTCTCTAAAGGCTCATTAAATATTTTGCATCAACACAATACAGGAACTTGAATATAATAGGACAAAATAAAGCTGCGTTCACACCAAATGCATTGAGCATTAGGAACGTCAGATCACAAGGTGATCTGCACAAATATATTTTACCATATACCATATATGTTAAAGTTTTGTTGTGCTGGTTTATTAATCATTTAAAAAGAAAGAGCAAAAAATAAATAAAAAACTATAGAAGTTGGGGATGTTTCAATCGGAGAACTGTTAATATTGGTGTGAACGGTCAATGTTATTAACAACTGTAATACACAGATGATGAAATCTGTGTATTACAGTTGTTAATTTATTATGAGCAGCAGGGGACTTTGAAATGAAATATACAGCTGATCTATCTATACAGAGAAAAATACTCAACCAATCTAAAAGGTTCTCTCCAGACACAAAGGCTCTACCCTAGAACTTAAGAAGTACTTTCTCCCAATCTGTCCTTTTTTATGGGAAATGGACATTTAAATGTCACCCTGCTCTGTCCCTGCTGTAAAGATAAAAAACACAGAAAGACCTCTTGGTTGATTAAAAGGTCAACTTTTACCTGTGAATGGTGGCGCCTGCCATGACTCATTCCCGATATTTTGTGACTCCAGTGGTTGACCTGAAAAAAACATATAAATAAATAAGTAAGAAAAAGGAAGTTTAGACGCAGAAGGAAAAATAGCACTGAATACAATAGAGTGAGAGAGTAAAGCATCACTGCCTGATAATGAAAACACTCACTGTTGGGTGCTAAATAGTCACTTCACCTCCACTCTCTTTACCCTCCCTCCAACAACGCACAAAAACACCTGATCTGACGCAAAAAAACCCCAAAACAAAAGCGTTTGGAAAGATTGGAAGATTGCTCTGTAATCAACACTTATACAATCAGGTTTCAGGCTTTTCTTCCTTTTAACATTGCACTACCTTGGGACATCTTCCCTTAGTCCGTGACTCAGCCATGTCTCAATGGGCATTCTGAGCACTGAGCCCAGTCAGAGTTTTTATCTTGTAGAGTTCTTGTGTTGCAATAATGGTGGCAGATTAAAGGCTTCTCCTAAAAAGCCACAGGAGATCTGTCCTAAATACAGCCTGTTCACAATGGTTCGAACCAGGAGGCTTCTGTTTGACAAATGGAACCTAGGCAAGAGCCCTGGTATGCTGCAAGTTAGGTTTAGAGTTTTTGTTATAAAAAGCAAATATATTCTTAGGTAGTTCATCTTAACTGGTGAGTTGAGAGCTTTTTTTCCCGGCACTACTTATCTCTTATCATACTCACTCCTGAGGGCCAAGAGTTGAGGCCAAGTATTTCTGACGGAAAAAAAGATCCAAAGAGTTCTTGTGAGTATAGCTGATAACAGTCTGTTACATGAGAGATGAAGAGTCCTCTATGTCTTCAAACTCACTTGTGATACAGAAAATGGTGATAATATAACAGAAATACGATGCTTACAAACAGCATTGTAAGCATTGTTAGAATAACTCAGCTGGCTATTCAACACTAAGTGAGGTGAGGTGTTTGTGATAAATACCTACATCCCAACAGGAGCTAATGCTAACATGCAAGACTCAACCTCCAGATCAACGACCTTCAGGTATTCTGATTGGACTGCTACCACCGGTCAGGACGTTAATTAAGGTCTATATAGGAACTGTGGACTGCTAAAAACCTAATCCTTTGACGCAATTAAACATATGACGGTGAAATGTTGGCCATACTACCTGCCAATGGATTTTACTAAGCTCTTCATCACGATTGTTTTCATCTCACAGGGGCTATTGCTAACAAAGTATCAACAAAGACACCATTAGCTCCTGCATTAAAGCCCTCTGAGGCATTCTGTTGGCATTTGTTGGGGACTTAAATCACTTGAAACTGACAAACACTCTGCCCAGCTTTTAACACTCTTCTTTGATCCTATATTGGCATTTCCGAGCATATCTCCATCCTGCTGGTGCCAGCATGTCAAAGGCTGATGAGAGAAATTTTAGACCTACTGTGAAAAAGTCACTGTGTGGCCCAGGGATTACACAGTGCTAAAGGATTTCTTTAAACGCACAAAATGGAAGCACTTCAGAGAGGCGCCAATATATGATGGTGAGGTGGACCTTGAGGGATACACCTCCTCTTCTCTGCTTCATCTCTAAGTGTGATGAAAATTTCAGCAATTGGAAAGCAATTCGAACCAATAACACTGGCTGAATGCTGAGATAAGCGCTCTACTGAATGACAGCTGACACACCAGCTCTTCGAAGGATGAGGGACAGAATGAGTGGAGGTATCACCAAATCCACCTAACCCTGTTAACTCCAGGTCACCTCACCATCAATAACAGGCAAGACATATAGAAGGGCATAAAATGTATCATGCACCACCAATGGCCAGAGACATTCAAAGTTTCATGCCTGCTTTGAGGATCCAAACACCCTCATGAGCCCCAGCTTTATATCAGAATCAGAACTACTTTAATCAGGAAAATCTTCATTGCACGCTTCAGGTATACAAACAACATATTACAGCATTTATCATCTAAAGAAATACAATACAATACAAATAAATACAATACAACATTCCACACTAAAAATATAAATATATAAATATATATATATATATATATATATATATATATATATATATATA